CAGCTGCCTCTTGCACACCTCCTACTAGGGATGTGCCCGCAACCAAGGTACATGCCCTTGGCCAGAATCGAACCTGGGACCCTTCAGTCCGCAGGCTGAGGCTCTATCCACTGAGCCAAACCGGTCAGGGCCCCATTTCCTTCTAATACCTCCCCTCTCAGTTGTCTCCTGGACAAGACTACTTTCTGTGTGCATAGATTTGCCTATTCTAGACATCTGGTATAAATGAAATCATATACTGGTATATGTGGTCTTTTGTGACTGGCTTTCACTTAGCAAAATGTTTTTAAGGTTCATCTATTATTATAGCATGTATCACTACTTCATTCCTACTGTCAAATAATATCTCAATGATGGATACACTACATTTTATTTCTCCATTCATTGGTTGATGGACATTTGGGTTGTTTTCATTTTTTGCTATTATGAATAATGCTGTTATAAATATTAACGCACAAGTTTTTGAATGGACAGGTTTTCAATTCTCTTAGGTATATGCCTTGAAGTAAAATTGCTGAGACATATGGTAACCCTATGTTTAATCTTTTGAGGATTTGTCAGATAATTTTTCAAAACATTCTCACCAACACTTATTATAAGTGTTTTTTTAATCCTCACCCGGGGATATGTTTTTATTTTTATTGATATTTAAAAAATACTTTTATTGTTTTCAGAGAGGAAGGGAGAGGGAGAGATAGAAACATCAATGATGAGAGAGAATCATTGATGGACTGCCTCCTGCACGCTCCCTACTGGGGATCGAGCCTACAACCCGAGCATGTGTGCTTGACCGAAATCAAACCCAGGCCGACACTGTTTTTTATTGATTTTTAGAGAGAAAGGAAATGGGGAGAAAGAGAGAGAGAAACATTGATGTGAGCGAGAAGCAGCAATCGGTTGCCTCCTGTACACACCCCGACCAGGATCAAACCCTCAACCTAGGTCTGTGCCCTGACCAGGAATCAAACCCCCAACCTTTTGGTGTACAGGACAATGCTCCAACCAACTGAGCCACCCAGTCAAGGCTGTCTTTCTTTTTCATTGATTGATTTCAGAGAGGGATAGAAATATCGATTTGTTGTTCCACTTATTTAAGCATTCACTGGTTGATTCTGGTGTGTGCCTTGACCAGGGATTGAACCTGCAACCTTGGCCTATTAGGATAATGCTCTAAACCCACTAAACTACTCGGCCACTAGAGTAGGTGTGGAGAGCTATTTCATTGTGGTTTCGAGTTGCATTTCTCTGATGCATTGTTTCAAGTGCTTATTGGACATTTGCATCTTTCTGGAGTATGTCTACTCATATTCTTTTGGACATTTGCATCTTTCTGGAGTATGTCTACTCAACCCACTTTTTAATTGGGTTGCTTTTATTTTTGCGTTCTAAGAGTTCTTTATATATTCTAGATACAAGTCTCTTATCAAATATATGATTAGCAAATATGTTCTCTCATTCTGTGGCTTCTCTTTTCACATTCCTGAAGGTGTCCTTTGTATCAAAGAAGGTTTTAATTCAAGAAAAGTAGCACTGCCTCTCCAACTTCCTGTTTTGAAGTCAGGAACTAAAGAAAATGTCACTCTCATTGGTTCCACCTATGTCCTACATTCTTGAGCTATAAAAGTCCTAATTTTATCCATCTTAATTGAATTCGTGAGCAAATGACCCAACAGTTCAATGACTGTTCATCCTTTTCTCTTCACATTATGTTAAAAAGTGTTTTAGAGAAAAAAATTATTATGTATCAGTGTTTAATAAATACACAAAATGACATTTAAAATTTTGTACAGCACTTTCTATTTTGCAAAGAACTTACACAAACATTACTTTACTAGAGGCCCGGTGCACAAAAATTTGTGCACTCGGGGGTCCCTCAGCCCGGCCCTCTCGCAGTCTGGGACCCCTCAGGAGATGACCACCTGCTGGCTTAGGCCCGCTCCCCGGGGGATTGGGCCTAAGATGGCAATCAGACATCCCTCTGGCAGCCCGGAAGCCCTCGGGGGATGTCCACTTGCCAGCGGGGAGCAGGCCTAAACTGCAGTCGGACATCCTTAGCGCTGCTGAGGAGGCAGGAGAGGCTCCCACCACCACCGCTGTACTGGCAGCCATCAGCCTGGCTTGTGGCTGAGCAGAGCTCCTCCCATGTGAGAGCGCCCTGACCACCAGAGGGCAGCTCCTGCATTGAGCATCTGCCCCCTGGTGGTCAGTGTGTGTCATAGTGACCAGTCATTCCCAGTCCTTCTGCTGTTAGGGTCAGTTTGCATATTACCCTTTTACTATATAGGATAGAGGCCTGGTACACGGGTGGGGGCTGGCTGGTTTGCCCTGAAGGGTGTCCCGGATCAGGGTGGGGGTCCCGCTTGGGTGCCTGGCCAGCCTGGGTGAGGGGCTGATGGCTGTTTGCAGCTGGTCACACCCCCTTCAGGGTGGGGGTCCCCACTGGGGTGCCTGGCCAGCCTGGATGAGGGGATGATGGCTGTTTGCAGCTGGTCACACCCCCTTCAGGGTGGGGGTCCCCACTGGGGTGCCTGGCCAGCCTGGATGAGGGGATGATGGCTGTTTGCAGCTGGTCACACCCCCTTCAGGGTGGGGGTCCCCACTGGGGTGCCTGGCCAGCCTGGATGAGGGGATGATGGCTGTTTGCAGCTGGTCACACCCCCTTCAGGGTGGGGGTCCCCACTGGGGTGCCTGGCCAGCCTGGATGAGGGGATGATGGCTGTTTGCAGCTGGTCACACCCCCTTCAGGGTGGGGGTCCCCACTGGGGTGCCTGGCCAGCCTGGATGAGGGGATGATGGCTGTTTGCAGCTGGTCACACCCCCTTCAGGGTGGGGGTCCCCACTGGGGTGCCTGGCCAGCCTGGATGAGGGGATGATGGCTGTTTGCAGCTGGTCACACCCCCTTCAGGGTGGGGGTCCCCACTGGGGTGCCTGGCCAGCCTGGATGAGGGGATGATGGCTGTTTGCAGCTGGTCACACCCCCTTCAGGGTGGGGGTCCCCACTGGGGTGCCTGGCCAGCCTGGATGAGGGGATGATGGCTGTTTGCAGCTGGTCACACCCCCTTCAGGGTGGGGGTCCCCACTGGGGTGCCTGGCCAGCCTGGATGAGGGGATGATGGCTGTTTGCAGCTGGTCACACCCCCTTCAGGGTGGGGGTCCCCACTGGGGTGCCTGGCCAGCCTGGATGAGGGGATGATGGCTGTTTGCAGCTGGTCACACCCCCTTCAGGGTGGGGGTCCCCACTGGGGTGCCTGGCCAGCCTGGATGAGGGGATGATGGCTGTTTGCAGCTGGTCACACCCCCTTCAGGGTGGGGGTCCCCACTGGGGTGCCTGGCCAGCCTGGATGAGGGGATGATGGCTGTTTGCAGCTGGTCACATCCCCTTCAGGGTGGGGGTCCCCACTGGGGTGCCTGGCCAGCCTGGATGAGGGGATGATGGCTGTTTGCAGCTGGTCACACCCCCTTCAGGGTGGGGGTCCCCACTGGGGTGCCTGGCCAGTCTGGGTGAGGGGCTGAGGGCCGTTTTCAGGCTGGTGGGTGACTGAAGCTCCCAACCTCTCCTTTTTTTTCTTTTTTCTTTTTTATTCTGGGATTTATTTACCTTCTATGGCTGTCACTGGAGCTGACAGCCGGCTTTAGCTCTGAGGCTCAGCTCCAGCTCTGAGACCTCAGCTGCTGAAAGCAGGTATCTGGGCTTTGTTTAGCTTCTATAATTGAAACACTGTTGCAACTCCAGCTCGGAGGCCCGGCTGGCTGAAAGCAGGTTTCTGGGGATTGTTTAGCTTCTATAATTGCAACATAGTTGCTTAGAGTGCAGCTCAGAGCTGGGCGGCGGGAGGTGGGGAACCTTGGCTTCCTCCATCACTAGAGCAAGCAAGCCTCCTGTTCGCTTCAGCTGCCTGGCTGAGGGCCACCATCTTGGTTGGCAGTTAATTTGCATATCGCCCTGATTAGCCGATGGGAAGCGTGCCGGAGGTACAGTTAATTACCATGTTTGCCTATTATTAGATAGGATTTGAATCTCATTAATGCTATAAGAGGTTCATAGAACAAGAATTATTTTCCCACAAAATAATCATGGCCTCAGGAAAGTTAAATAAACTTGCCCACGAGTCTACTAAGGCTACTGCTTGAAAAAATAATTCAGGTACATTCCAATAAGATTTCATTTAAAAATAACATGCTTAAAACATTGCTGAGCTTCTGTGGAAGGAATAGCATGATGATGGCAACTAATTAGCCGCTGGATTTCATTTCCTTAAAAGAGTGCAGTTCCACAAAATAGAAACAAAGGTCTGGTTACATTGACAGACTGACTGCTGTCAGAGGGGAAGGGCTTTGGGGGCTGAATGAAAAAACATGAAGGGATTAAGCGCACACGCATGCACGCGCGAGCGCACACACACCACAGATTTTAAAATTTAATATCTAGCCAATTCAATTTAACTCAAATTATGAACACTTATTATATGCCAAGCATATAATGTAAAAGACAGTATAATGGTGGTTCTGTTAGTATAGCCCTATAGGTCTCGGGAACATAATTGAGAGTCTAGACATAAGCCTTCACATTTATGGTGACTATCAACAATAAAAAATATTTTTTTAAAAGAAAAATTACCTGGAAACCAATGAAAATGAATGCACAACAACCCCAAATCCATGGGACACAGAGAAAGCAGTCCTGAGAGGGAAGTTCACAGCATTGCAGAAGCAAGAAAAATCTCAAATAAACCATTCTAACCCAACACCTAAAAGAGCTAAAAAAAAAAAACCAAACCAACAAACAAAGCCCAGAATAAGTAAAAGGAAGGAAATAATAAAGATCAGAGCAGAAATAAATGATACAGAAACTAAAAAATAAAACAATACAAAAGATCAATGAAACCAAGAGCTGGTTTTTTAAAAAGATAAACAAGTCTGGCCAGTGTGCTTCAGTGATTGAGCGTCGACCCATGAACCAAATGGTTCAATGCCCGGTCAGGGCACATGCTAGAGTTGTGGGCTCAATCCCCAGTAGGAGGCATCCAGGAGGCAGGTGATCAATGATTCTCTCTCATCATTGAGGTTTCTATCCCTCTCTCCCTCTCCCTTACTCTCTTTGAAATCAATAAAAACATACTTTTAAAAAAAGATAAACAAGATCGATGAACCTTTGACCAGACTCATCAACAAAGAAAGAGGAGATTCCAAAATGACAGCAGAGTAAGTGGATGCTACACTGACGAACTCCCAGAACCAAAGTGGAATTACAACTAAAATACTGAAAAAAACTGTCCTGAATAATCAACTGAAGACTAGCTGAAGAGATTCCTGATAGCCAAAGACAGAAAGTAGAGCCGCACAGAGACAGGTAGGAGGTGCCAAGGAGCGAAAGGGCTGGCTGGGCTCCTACAGGCAGCAGCTGAAGTTCCTGAAGGATATCTCAGCTGTGGGGGGTTCCCACTGAGAACTCTGGAGTCTAAACCCCAGGCTGGGCTCCCCAGCTCAGAGAACCAGAACTGAGAAAGGTGTCCACGTAACATTTGGCTGTGAATAGCAGCAGGGTTGCTGTCTGCCAGGGAAAGAGAGCTGGAAAGTCAGGCACCCGTTAAAAGGGCCAACACACAAAATTTCACATGCAGCCACTCAACTTGGGCTCTGACAGAGTGAACTAGTGCTGTGTGAGCAGAAGCCAGGATGGGGGCTCTGGGATTAGACCTCTGAAGGTAGTCACCTGAATTTCCTGTGCGGAGTCATTGCCTCATGCTGCAGAGGGCATCTGTCTCTGGTGAACCTTTACTATCCAGGTGGTTTTTGCCTGGGGGAAAAGCAATTGCCCCACCCTATTGAAAAATGCTTTACCCCCTGCTAGGTAAAGCAGACCTTGGTGCACATCTTCCAAAGGCACCCAGCCCCAGCAAAGGGAGACACAAGCTTTGGATTGCTGATAGCTCCAAACAGGATATGCAGTGCCACACAGAAACAGTGTCTGACACTGTCCTGCACCAGAGATTGGGAAGCATAACAGATCTACGTAATTACATAGTCACAAACAAGCAGCCAAAATGGAGAGACCAATAAATAAATAAATAAATACCCCCCAAACGAAAGAACACAAAAATTCTAAACAAAAGAGAGAGATGGAATTCTCCAGAAGAAGAGCTAAATTAAATGGAGGTAAGAAATTTATCAGACATACAGTTCAAAATAATGGTGGCAAATATGCTCAACATCATAATATATAGTAACTATGAAGAATGACATAGCACTAATAAAGAACAAAGTGGAAGGAATACACAGCAGATTAGGGAAAGCCAAGGATCAGATCAGTGAATTAGAAAACAGAGTAGAAAAAAATCACTCAATCAGAGAACCAAAAAAAAAAAAAATCAATTAAAAAACAGGACAGCTTAAAGGAGCTGTGGGACAACATGAAATGCAACAATATTTGCATTATAGGAGTGCCAGAAGGAGAAGAAAGTGCGCAAGGGCTAGAGAATGTGTTTGAAAAAATAATGGCAGAAAATTTCCCTAACCTAGTGAACAAAAAAGTCATACAAGTTCAGGAGGCACAGACTCACAAGCAAGAAGAACCCAAACAGGCCCATGCTCAGACACATCATAATTAAAATGCCAAAAATTAAAGACAAAGAGAAAATCTTAAAAGCAGCAAGACAAAAGCAATTTGTTACCTACCAATAAACTCCCATAAGGCTGTCATCTGATTTCTCATCAGAAACTCTACAGGCAGAAGGGAATGGCATGAAGTATTCAAAGTAATGAAAAGCAAGGACCCCAAACCAAGATTACTATATCCAGCAAGACTAACATTCAAAATAGATGTTGAAATAAAGACCTTCCCAGACAAAAAAGGGTAAAGAAGTTTGTCACCACCAAACCAGCACTGTAGAAATGCTTAAGGGACTGTTATAATGAGAAGAAATAGAAAAAAACAAATGAGACTACATCAAAATAAAAAGCTTCTGCACAGCAAAATGAACCATCAACAAAATGAAAAGGGAGCCCCTTATGGGATAACATATTTGGCAATGATATCCTATATAATAAAAAATTAATATGCAAATAGACCAAAGAGCGGAACAAATGGAACAACCAGACAACTGGTTGCTATGACATGTGCTGACCACCAGGTGCTGTGCAGGGAACATGGCGGGCATCGGCCGCGGCAGGATGGTGGAGCTGGTAAGCGGGGGTGCCAGACCAAGGCAGGGCCTGCTGGTCGCTGTCACTGGGGCGAGCCTTTGGTAGTTAATGAAAATTCTTCGCTCCTGTGCACCATGGGCCCACCTGGTGCTCGCACCTGCTGCCAGCACCAGTCCCACTCGCACCCGCTGCTGGGGCCGGCCCCAATTGCTCCACGCCGTCAGGGGGTGTGAGCAGGGCTAGCGCCGTCAGCGCATGGGAGTTGTGGCAGCGGGAGCAGGGCTGCAGGTAGAGAGGGGACCTGGGGCCACAGCAGGAAGGGCCAGGCGGAGGCACAGAGGATGGACCGAAACCCACCTCTGTGCCCACTGCAGCCTCGCAGCCTACAGTTCCTTTCAAGGTGCATGAATTCATGCACTGGGCCCCTAGTATCTAATAAAGGGTTAATATCCAATGTATATAAAGAACTCATACAGCTTAACAAAAGGAAGATAAACAATCCAATTAAAAAATGGGCAAAGGACCTAAATAGACACTTCTCCAAAGATGGCCAAGAGACATGAAAAAATGCTCAAAGTCACTGATCATCAAAGAGATGCAAATTAAAACAAGGAGGTATCACCTCACACCTGTTAGAATGACTACCATCAACAAACAATATATGCTGGTGAGGATGTGGAGAAAAGGGAAACCTTGTGCACTGTTGGTGGGAATGCAGATTAGTGCAGCCACTGTGGAAAGCAGTATGGATTTCCCTCAAAAATTAAAAATGGAACTGCCTTTTGACCCAGTGATCCCACTTCTGGGAATATATCCAAAGACTCCCAAAACCCCAATTCAAAAGGATATATGCACCCCTATGTTCATTGCAGCATTATTTATAAATAGAGGCCCGATGCACAAAAATTCGTGCAAGAGCAGGCCTTCCTTCCCTCGGCTGCCAGCACCAGCTTCCCTCTGGCATCTGAGACCTGGGCTTCCTCCTCCAGCCGCCGGCAGGCACCAAGGACCCGGGCTGCTTCCCTCCTCTGGCCGCCCACAGGCACCCGGGATCTGGGCTGCTTCCCTCCTTCAGCTGCCCGCAGGTACCCGGGATCCAGGCTGGCTTCCCTCGGGCCACCCACAGGCACTTGGGACCCAGGCTGGCTTCCCTCCGGCCCCGGCTTTGTCAAGAAGGACGTCCAGAATGACGTCCGGTCTAATTAGCATATTACCCTTTTATTATTATAGATGGCCAAGTTCTGGAAACAGCCCAAGTGCCCATCAGTAAATGAGTGGATAAAAATGCTGTGGTACATTTATACAATGGAATATTATGTGGCCATAAAAAATAAGGAAATCTTACCTTTTGTGAAGCATGGACAGACGTGGATGTTACTATACTAAGTGAAATAAGCCAGTCAGAGAAAGATAAATACCATACGATCTCACTTACATGTGGAATATAATGAACAAAATAAACTGTTGAACAAAATAGGTCCAGAGACATAGATGCATGGGACAGACTGACAGATCTCAGATGGAAGGGAGGCAAGGAGTTGAAAAGAGATTAACCAAATATATTATATACATATATGCACAGCCCATGAACACAGACAATAGTACAGGTGGGGTGGGGTTTGGGTGTAAGGGAGCAAAGGGGGGATAGGAATAGGGGACATCTGTAATAATATCAACAAAATAATTTGTTAAAAATAGGCAGAGGACCTGAACAAATATCTCTCCCAAGAAGACATACAACCAACTGATACATGAAAAGATGTTCAACTTCAAAGCTATTAGGGAAATGCAACGCAAAACTACAATGAGATACCACCTATTAGAATGAGTATTATCAACAAGACAAGTAATAACAAGTGTTGGAGAGGTTATGGAGAAAAGGGAACCCACATTCACTGCTGGTGGGAATGTAGACTAACTGATTCAGCCACTATATAGAATAGTCTTGTGGTTCCTCAAAAAATTAAGAATAGAGTTACCATATGACCTAGCAATCCCTCTTCAGGGTATCTACTTGAAAAAATTTTTTTTCGCAAAGATATATGCACCCCTATGTTCACTGCAGCATTATTCATGGCGGCCAAGACATGGAAACAAAAGTGTCCTTCGATAGAGGATTGGATATAGATGTGGTACGTACATACAATGCAATATACTGAGCCAGCCATAAGAAAAGATAAAATATTGCCATTTGTGACAACATGGATGTACCTTCAGAATATTAGGCTAAGCAAAATAAGTCAGTCAGAAAAATCTAAAGACCATATGATTTCACTCATATGTGTGAAATAAAACTGAAATTCATGAACAGTATGGTGGTTACCAGAAGAAAGGGAGTGGGGAGTTGGGGGACCAAGAAGGTCCAATATATTGTCACGGAAGATGGTTTGACTTAGGGTAGTGGGCACACAATGCAATATATAGATGACATTTCATAGAAATACACACTTGAAACCCATATGATACTATTAACCAGTCACCCCAATAAATTTAATTTTTAAAAAGAGGAGAAAAGCCAAAGGAAGAACTACTCAACATAAAGGTGCTAGGACTTGCTGAGTTTAAAATAAAACCTTTTCTCATTCTCAAAAACAAAATTATAATGAAAAACAAAATATAGGCTATGTCACATACCTATGCTTCTTTAAATACAACTCAGATTAAGTACATATATTAAATAGATGAAATCCTGGTCAGACTGCCTTTTTTTCCCTTCTTTCAAATCAGTAAAGAAGAAAAAGTAAGCATGAAACAGTTCATAAAAATTATTTTTTCTTCTACTAACAGTTGGGGGTAGTTTCTTAGGAATATGGTGTACCATTTTCTATCTACTTGCTTATTCACATAAAGCTAATGTTCATTTTTTAATCAGTGGATTAAAAAAATTGGAATCAATCTAAAAGTACATGTCTTCCACTTTCAAACATAAAATTAATAGTCCATATTTGTGGTCATTTAAGTTTAATCTAAGAATTGGTGACAGTTGTTTGTAAATAAATTCAAAAAAACTTCTAACATCTGTTTCACCAACAAATTAATTCTGAGTTTGTTGTGAATAGTTAAGAACTATATTATTAATATAGTAACAAAGTTATTTAAATTTTATTTTCATATATATGAATTTATTATCCCTGACTTGTCAAGCAAATGCATGAAACAACAAAAAATTATTAAGAACCATGTATGTGTTCTAAAGTGAAACCAAGAAATATAGCTGGCCATTAAAAAATCAATTAATGGAATTATCGACAAGATACACATACATCATATAAGAATAATAAAACTTTCAATATTACCTAAAGAAGTAAAAAGAACTCAACAATTTTTAGTACCATCCTCAATATTAAAATATATTGTATAGTAGTCTCATTTCCTAATTCTAAAGGGTTTGTAGAGGCTTTATGGAATTTTTTTAAAAAGGTACCAAGAACACTAGGAAGTTATAGCTATACTACCCTCTAAAGGTGAATGGTAAGAAAAGTATATGATCAGGTTAATCTTATTCATGGGTATAAACTATATAATTAAAGTTTACCTCACAATTTTTTAATTCCAAAATACCTAAAGACATGGTATTTCAGGATGTTTTTAATGAAGATTAAAATACAGACTGATAATAAAATACAGACTTTCCCTAAAGTTTTAACTTACATGTCATAACCTTTTGACTCACAGGCACACACAAATCAGGATGCTAAAGCCAAATGACATTACATTATATTTCATGCAAATAATCATATGCTTATTCTGACACAATATATTTTATATCCTTATAATTGCCAGAAACATGATTGAGTTTACTCATGAAAAACCTATGGGTTGTTCCGTAAATGACTATGACTCAAAAAAAGACCTACTACTAAACATTGAAGTATTATTCTTATAATCATGAAATATTTTCTAAAATAAAGATGGTTACAACACTTACCTCTGTCTTTTTATTAATGTGATCTGTAAAATAGAATGGTGATACTTCATTGAAGGAAATTAACAGATAAAATATTTTAATATGTAAAAAATATTTAAACAAAGTAACAAGAGAATTTCAAAATTATGAGTTTCAGAAGTCATTTGGGGGTTGCCTAGGATTCATCAGATTTACTCTTCTAAAGATAAGATGTTAAAATTCAGTATATAACTATTAATTCGTTCAGCTTTGGGACTAGGTCTTACATTCCAGTAAATGCCACCCATAACAAAGGGGTATTATTAAATTTTAAACATTTGAATCCCACGTCATTTAAGTTTTGGTTTCACATAGTATGTTTGGAAGGAGGAGAGAATTTGAGAGGGCACAAAATATGTCTAAAATCAAATCACAGGATACTATGACTGCAAAAACTATACAGACCACTGCCTTTGTGGAATAAAATAAAAAGTCAAATAATCATTTATGTCCTTTAAAACTATTAGCTAGGTTTTGTTTTAAAAAATGCTTCATAGTGATTTGATATACTATAAAAATTCTAAAAATTAACGTATATTTATAGAACACAAAAGAAGGCAAAACAAATATATCTAGATTAAAGAAATCATTTTCTTAGTAACAATAGCATTTGTGAAAAGGGATTACAGAATGAGAAAAAGGAAGACATAAGGGAATCCACACAGAAGACTGAAACTAAAGTACAAATAGGGAACAAGTGTTCTTATTTAAATTGAAAATTATCAGGATATCTAATATTTAATAAGGCTTCTTGTGGACAGCAAAAATTCTCCATTCTCAAGGACTAATAATTGAATAGAATAGCTTTCTTATGATTGAGAATCTAAAAGTTGAACCAGTTTTCTAAAGCATTCACTAATCAGAATAGAGTCCATAAAAATAGTAAATGTCAAAATCACAAGTTTCAGATCTAACTACTAAATCTTAGTAGATTACAATTTACTAGCCTATTCTACTTAGCATACAATGTGATGCCAGAACCTGAGGAAGAATGTGTTAATCACATCTTATAATTGTTTCTCCTTTAACAGTATTATACCGATGTCTTTCTCAATCCATCTAATACATTTATATAACACTTAATAAATCAAACATATGGAAAATTGAGTTTCTTTACATGCTTCTGCTTAATTTTTAAGAAAATATTTCTTATATAAAATCTTTCTTACTAAAATTGGAAATTTTATTTTAGCATACATCTGGTCTTTTTAACCCCAAAACAAAGCAATTTTCCTGATCCTTAAAGGAGAGCAATATAATCCTCTAAATTTATTCCTACTTTCATTAGGCTTGTTTCTGAAAACAGTACCAGTAGGGTGTTTTGGGGTTTTTTTCGAGATTATTGCTATGGTATTATTAATCCTCACAGAACAAATGCCCAATGTATTAACGCTAAATTCATATAAATCAAATATGCTGCTCTGCCATTGAACAAACAACTGTCCACTTGGTTGGTATAATCACAGTGCTGTTCAAAATAATTTTCTGACTGCTGTCTGATATAGAAGCTACTGGTCACATGGCTACTGAGCATTTGAAATGTGCCTAATGCAACATTTAAAAAATTTTTATTTTAGTTCATTTTAACTAATTTATATTTAAGTTGCCACACATGAATAGTGTGATATCTAGGGTTTTCATCATTTCCAACATCAAAAGTAAAGTGTTTAGTGGTCTGTCTTAAAAAATTTAGTGGATGGTACAATTTTCTTCTATCTTCTCTTTTTGATAAAAAAAAATTTATAAATGATATTATAAAGAATTTTCTGGTAATACCTCTCATTCTAAAAATTTGTATTTTAATTTTATAAGATGTAGCTCCAGATAATTTGAGGAGGTTGACCAATAATGGATGAAACCTAAAGATACTATTCCTGATCTAGTTTAAACCAAATCACTTTATGTATAAGGACAAAAATATGTCTCATAATGACTTAAAAACTATAAATGTTCATTTTTATTTTCAGTGAGTTTTAGAAAAGGGACAAAATTAGAAATACAAAAAGATAAATTCTAGTTTTATGGGGTTTTAATGATTGATTTAAATTACTTTAACATCTAAATGGTTTATTTCCAAACAGGATTACATTCTACATTCTAAGTAGCAGATTAACAAAACCATTTTTACTTACTTTAAAAATTAGAAATGTACTTACAAATCAAGTAAACAAAGACTTAGAACAGTTACTCTACATACAGATTTCACACATATATTACCTTCAGATTGAAAATCTTTTAATGGTACTGTGAGAGGTTTGTCTTTTCCCTGATGATTCTTTCTTTTATCTTTTTTATTCACAACCTTTGACTGAGTTGAAGCATTTTCATTATTTTCATACTCCTAAAAAGAATTATAGACAACCATTAAGCTTACTTTACAGTAGCAAAACTAACTCACCAACAGGTAATATGTTCATTAACATTTTCTTTTTAAAAATAAAAAGCAAATAACATATAAAAACTAAGGCTAGCCAACTTGTATAAAAAGATACCCGTTTATTTATATAGTCAATCTCTTGCATCTTAACCATTAAAATAAAAACAAGATGCTTACCTTGGTCTATTAACCCCTCCAACTTGCCACCCTATTCTCCATTTCTGGAACAAACTTAAAACAATAATCTACCATCAATTTGCTTACACACACACACACACACACACACACACACACACACACACCACAAAACCCCTGAAATCTGGCTTCTGCTATTCTTTGACACTAAAAAGGTCAACTTCCATTTAAATGCTAAATCCAAAGGACATTATTTTTCAAGCATTTCTTGATTTTCTCAATGCATTTATGACTACTCTTCAGTCTCCTTTCACCAGCTTCTCTTTTCCTAACTCTGTTCTTAAAAATGTACCTGCTATTCACTATTATTCCATTCTAACCCATTCTTATGCTTTATACCCACTGTTCTTCAAACTCAAAAGTTTAAAGTTCTACCTATACAATGATAATTTCTGTATGTGCAGACAACTCAACTGGGATGTTCATTAAGCATCTCCAATTCCCTAGAAAGGACTGATCCTTTACTGAGTATCCTGTTTAATGCCACCCTCACATACACAACTATCTAGGCCAGAAACCTCAGTCATTCTTGCTTATTCTTTCTACACACTTTATATCCAAATTAGTCAGTATATCTGGTTGAGTTTATTTACTAAACCTCTCTTAAATCTATTCTCTTTTCTTCATACCTTGTTATTTCCCCTATCTTCTTTTGCTTGACACTCTAATTTTATTCCCTCAATCCATCTTCTACACTGCTATAGTATGAGTTTCTAAAATGAAAACCCAAATTCAATCTAGAAGTTAAAAATATTCAATAGTTCTCTGTATATGTATAAAACCTAATCTCCTTAGCCTGGTACACCAGGTTCTTTATACCTTATTCTTCTGGCAGCATCTCTAGCAATTCCAGGTCTCTAAATTATAGTTTTTAAAATGCTATATGCTTATACACTTGCCACTCCTCCTAAGAATGCCAACTTTCCTCTTACCCACTTGTGAACTTCTAATACATTTAGAAAGATCCTCTTTTAAGAATCCTTTCCTAAAATCCATCCCCATCAAAGGCACAGAAAGTTCTTCCAACTTTCTGAATTCCCTCTGCACTGAGAACATACATCTCTCAATACTATATGCCATAAAAATATGTATGTCTTCCTTCACGAAATCCAAGGAATGGAACCATGTCTTAATCTTTGTATTGGGTACCTAGCACATTTTGTCTATTCAAAAAAATAATTGGTGAATAAGTGATTGAACAGAATAGATAATGCCATCTCAAACCTTAGTTATTATAAAAATCCTTAAGCTAAAGTATAGTTTTGTGGGAGGTTTTGTATTAAAAAAAAAAATTTTTTTTTATTGATTTCAGAGAAGAAAGGAGAGGGAGAAAGAAATAGAAACACCAATGACGAGAGAGATGTGCCGACTGGAAATCAAACTGTGACCTCCTGGTTCATAGATGCCGCTCAACCACTGAGCCACACCAGCCAGGCACAGTTTTTAAATTAAAATAACTGACTTAAAACTCAATGACTACACTACATCAATGTAATCACACCAAACTAGCAATCACAGATTAAAGAAGTTCCTCCATTCCCTGAGGTTCATTATTTTTTGATAAAACCAACGCTTTTGGGTACTACACCTATGTACCAAGAAAACGGGCTGGATGCATGATAGTTCATAATACCATCTACTCTACTCCTCCTCTAAAGATACAGCTAACCATTTTAGCCTTAGAATCTAGATATATATCTACCAAATTTGATAAATTTCCAGTGTAACCTGAAAGTCCATTAAATGATTTAAGTCACAGTAAAGCTAACTGTATCCATTTTTATAATTGTCAGGTTTGTGTCTAAATGAACAAGTAACAACAAAATTACAGTTACTCTTGATTTTTCAGGATAACAGGAATAGAGAGACATGGAAAATGAAACTAATATATATAGTGTACAAAAGCCCACCTCATTGGCTTTCTTCCTCTTCCCTTTAGCTATGAGTAAATAGCAAAATCATCACCTGTTATTTTAATTATTCTCTTCCCTTCATCTTGAGTAAAGAAGCTAGTGTACAATGACATAGCCTAAAGGCCCTAAGCATGACCAGAGGCCCATTTATGATTAACTACTGAGTAAATTGAGCATTTATATTATCTTCATATAATTTAACTTTAGTCCTTTACATGTATTGGGAATTTTTTGATCTATAAAATTTATTCAACTTGTGATTAAATACAGAAACTGAAACCAACACTACTTTTTTACTTAAGTGTTCCTAGAGTTGCAAAATGTAGAATGCATTTTAGCACACAGCCCAACATCACAGCTTAGTGACAAATTATCAGAAATGTCCTCCCATTTACTTTAGTTAATTATAGTGTATCTCCAGCAGAGGGTCCCATAATGGATGTCCCTGTACTCATAGTTACCTTGTATTTTTAAATCTACTTATTTTCTATGTTCATTTAAAATAAGTTAAATCATTTGCTGTTAATTTCCTCTCTTCCCTTTATATTTGGAAGGAAGTTTTTAAAATAAACATTCCAAATCATCAGACAAAGCTTAGGCCACGTTTCTGTTGTCTCTCAAAACCTGAGGAAGAACCTTATTATAAAAACTGTGTGTGCCCTCGCCAGTGTGGCTCAGTTGGTTGGAGCATCAACCCATACATCAAAAGGTGGTGGGTTTGATTCCCAGTAAGGGCACATACCCAGGTTGGGGGTTTGATCCCTGGTGAAGGCGCATAAGGGAGGCAATTAATTGATATTTCTCTCTTACACTGATGTCTCTCTCTTTCTCTCTCTCTCTCTTCCTTCCTCTCTCTAAAATCAATATTTTTTAAAAAGACTTTATGTTTTTATTTTTTAATTGAAAAACAAAGTAAACACAGCCTGATAATATTCTGTTACCACAAATTTTAAAGAGAATTTTAATACAAAATTTGGGAAGGTTGGTCCTAACTTCTGACCACTTAAACCTAATATAGCTAAATGAATAAACGTGTAAATACCTTTTTGTGTTCTTCATATTCTAATTTACTTAGCAACAATGCCTTCTCAAGATCTGCTTCAAACATTTCAGAAGTCAGCTAGAAAAAAAAAGTTTCACAATAAATAGATGATAGCTTTATATCACACTAGCAAAAATAACTATTGACAATATATACAGGAAAAGAAAAATATATATTAAAAAACAGTCTAGGTTCTCCAAAGTTATCATCCATGCCAAAGTAAGGAACCCTGTACTTTATAGAAAACTAGAGGCCCGGTGCATGAAAATTCGGCGGCTGGGGGGGGGGGGGGGGTCCCTCAGCCTGGCCTGCACCCTCTCACAATCCAGGACCCCTCAGGTAGGGTCCATAGGCCTGGCCTGAGATCAGGGCTTATCTGGGCTTTCCTTCCCCCAGCTGCAGGCAGCTGGCCCCACCCCCACTGCTGCCACTGCTTGCCATCTGTCCTCTGCAGGGGACAGGCTGGGATACGATGGCTTGGCTGGCCTGGGCCTCCCTCTGCGGCCCAAAGCAAAACTTCCAATTTTGAGATTTCCATTTGCCCTTTGATCTGGCCAGCCGCACACCTGCCACAGAGTCACTGCCAGTGGCCTGGGCCTCCCTCTTTCTTTGCTGGGGGGGGGGGGCAGCCCTGTGAGGGGTCCTCTGCCTACCTGATCACCCCTAACTACTCGCCTGCCTACCTGGTCACCCCTAACTTGCTGGGTGGCGGGGCCAGCCCTGCCAGGGGCCATCTGCTTACCTGATCGCCCCTAACCGCTGGCCTGCCTACCTGATCACCCCTAACTACTCGCCTGCCTACCTGATTGCCCCTAACCGCTTGCTTGGGGGCGGAGCCAGCACAGGGAGGGGCCATCTGCCTACTTGATTGCCCTTAACTGCTGGCCTGCTGGGGGACAGCCCTGCATGGAGCTCCCAGACCGTTGGCATCCTAAGCCTTGTCTTCTTCTGTTTCCTCACTTTGAGCCATTCTAGAGCCCCTGGCATTGTCTCCCTATCAGTGGTTCTCAACCTTCTGGCCCTTTAAATACAGTTCCTCATGTTGTGACCCAACCATAAAATTATTTTCATTGCTACTTCATAACTGTAATGTTGCTACTGTTATGAATCATAATGTAAATATCTAATATGCAGGATGATCTTAGGTGACCCCTGTGAAAGGGTCGTTCGACCGCCAAAGGGGTCGCGACACACAGGTTGAGAACTGCTGCCCTAACTGCTTGCTTGGGGGTGGGGCTAACCCTGCCAGGGGTCGTGGTGGTTCTGGTCCCTGGTCATTCTGGTTGTTACATGGTGGCTGGCCTTTTATTATATAGGATACCAAAGCAAAACTTCCAATTTTGAGATTTCCATTTACCCTTTGATTGTCAATAATTCATTATATATCACATAATCCTTTGCTTTATAAGTTTGGTTTTTTTGCTTTTGTTTTTTAATATCCTCACCCCAGGATATTTTCCCATTGATTTTCAGAGAGTGGAAGAGAGAGGGAAAGACAGAAATATCGGTGACAGAAACACATCGATTGGTTGCCTCCTGCACAAGGCCAGACCAGGGAAAGAGCCTGCAACTGAGGTACGTGCCCTTGACCAGAATCGAACCCGGGACCCTTCAGTCTGTAAGGCTGACACTCTATCCACTGAGAAAACCAGCTAGGGCTACAAGTTTTGCTATATTGGCCATGTTTTTTTTTCTTCAAGTGATTTAAAACTCATAAAATGAAGTCTTGTATATAAGTAAATTTAGAGGCACACTTGGAACTAACAATAACCATAGTTTGTTACGAATATGAAAATGTAAAATACCTATTGACTCCTCTGACCTATTCCTTCCTAATTTTTGTTTTCATAAACAGGGATTTCATTTTAGACAAATTTCTTCAAATGAGCTATATCTGTTTGTTCTTTCATTCATTCATTCCCTGGTATAAACCAAGACTTTAAGTGCTCCTTTAGTAAGGACTCAAATCTCTGAAGCAACTACATCCCATGAGAGGTTCTGCCCATATACTGGGTGGGGTAAAAGTAGGCTTACAGTTGTACGTATGGAAACTAATACAATAATTCATAAATAATAATATAGTAAACTGTTCTGCAGTCTCACAATTGTAAACCTACTTTTGCCCCACCCTGTATGTATAAACAGACACTCAAGTCTCCCAGTCTCAGTGATCCATTTTTCATGACGGTGATAGCCCCTTTGAGTAAACTTAGGACTAAAGATAAAATCTGTATGATTTTCTGGTATTTCCTGATTGTTGAAACAAGGCATCCTCTAAAATTTCCAGGAGACTACGTTCCATTTCTCCCCAGCACAGGTATTTACAGATTGATTTAAAGCAATTTTATAAGAAAAAGATTTCTTTCATGAACTCCTGCTTCAGCTTTTTAACTTTTCATTTAAGTACTAGAGGCCCAGTGCAGCCCCGCCCCCTATTGGAGTGGGGAGTGTGATCAGGAATGAGGCCGGCCAGGGGGAGGGGCTGCAGGAGGTTGGGCAGCCAGCCCCAGCCCCTATTGGGGTGGGGTGGGCCTATCAGGGGTGGGGCTGGTGGGGGTGAAGGGGTGGAGCATTTGGCCAGCCAGCCCCACCCTTGATCAGGGTGGGAGAGTCCAGTAGTGGGCAGTTATTATTAAAGGATACTTTTGAGAACAGTAACTGGGAAGAATGGGAAAAGAGCAGGTTTGAGCAGAGGAATAAGTAAAGCTGCGGTGGCCAGGCAGGGATCAGCCTCAGTGAACCACAGAGAGAGCTCTTGGGTCAATGGGGAAAAAAGGAGACATATGTACCTGATCGGGCCAGTTCGCTGGCCACAGTGGGCGTCATAGCAACCGGTCATTACAGTCGTTATGGCTTTATGGTCGCTGGCTTTTATATATATAGAAGATGGTTGATATATAATATTATATTAGTTATATTAGTTTCAGGTATATAGCTATGTTCTCTTTAATAACCACATTTACAATCACTATTTACAGTTAATTCTATATTGAACTAGCTTCAATACTCACCACTGGTGCTTTCCAATTGCTGTGCTCTTTATTTAGATTTGCCTTTTAATTGACAGGAGCACATCTCCAAAAAATTTGCAAAAGGGATAGTGGTGGTATGCTTTCTCAGCCCTTGCTTGAGAAATGTTATTTCTGAGAATGTATTTATTCAGCAGTCACACAAATGACATTTTGGCTAGATACTGAATTTTTGGTCCTAACATTTCAATTATGGCATTTAAAGTAGCCAACCTACAGCTGATAGATGTTCCTCCCTCATCAATGTTTCTAACTCTCTCCCTCTCCCTTCCTCTTTGTAAAATCAATATATTTAAAAAAAATAATAAAGTAGCCAACCTGACTTTTCATCCTTAGTAGGCAATTTTTTTCTCATGCATATATTTATAGTATTATTTCCTTGTTTTCTCATTCCTAAAGTTAAAAACTTTTACAAAGACTTCAGTTTTTTTAAAAAACTTGAGTTCTTCTTTCAAGTTCAGATTCAAGTCTTAGCTTCCGAACATTTTTTATCTATATTATCTTTAATGACTCTCTCTGCTCTACTTCTTTCAGGGCCACTAATTATGCCTTTGCTGGATTTTAGTTCTGTGTTCCAATCTTTTTTTTTTTTAATATATTTTATTGATTTTTTACAGAGAAGAAGGAAGAGGGAAAGAGAGGTAGAAACATCCATCAGCTGCCTCCTGCACACCCCCTACTGGGAATGTGCCCACAACCAAGGTACATGCCCTTGACCAGAATCAAACCTGGGAGCCTTCAGTCCGCAGGCCAACGCTCCATCCACTGAGCCAAACCAGTTAGGGCTCTGTGTTCCAATCTTATGTCAATTGTATTGGCAAAATTTATCTCGAATTTTCCTTCACACAATTGACTCAATTGTATACTCTGGTTCTTTAGTCTTCCCAATGAAGTTTCAAATTCTGCTGTGATTTTACTAGTACTTCCCAGATTTTTTGTGGGTAACGGCTCTAGAGTTAAAGCCTCAGATTGACCTGTGGCAGAGCCACCAACAAGTCCTAGTTTAGAGGGCAGAGCCCTCTTCGCATAATTAAGCTTGACCTTATGGCCGCCCCTAGATCCTTCCTAGGTAGCTAATGGGCTGTGGGAGATGCAGCAAGTGCTGCCAAAACAAGTGAAATTCACAAGAACACTGTAACTATGGTGACCACTACCTTGTTTACCTCTGACTATAAAATAAAGCCTCAGCTTGCTGGCTGGATCCTTCTCTGTGGCCTCATCCAGGCAGAGGAGATCCAATGAGCCCCAGCTATATTCTCTTTGTCTTTTCTTTAATCCTTCGCCTCCTCCCCCCCCCAACCCCCCGTCCCCAGACTCACTGAACCCTTGGCTGTGCTGGCAGGGCACAATTTTTTTACTTTACCCATCTCCCTTTCAATTTCTGTCTCTTAGTCACTTTTTCATCTCAGTCTATTGTTTCACCTTGTTATATAACACTAGAGGCCCGATACATGAAATTTGTGCAAGAGTAGGCCTTCCTTCCCTGGCTGCCAGCACCGGCTTCCCTCAGGCACCCGGGACCTGGGTTTCCCTCGAAGCTCCGGCTTGGTCTGGAAGGACATCCAGTCTAATTAGCATATTATGCTTTTATTATTACAGATTAGTATCCCCCACCCCGAGTTTTACAAAATATTCTAGACTTGGTTTTAATTATTTAAGCAAAAAAATGGAGACTGTCTAAAATCAACTTCCATTCCCCGCAGCAAATCTTTCACTTTGGTCACTAAGTACAATGTTCTTTTCCTTTTATGTAGCAGAAATATTTCTTCATCTGACTTAAGATC